CTACAGCCTGCGGTTGGAGGGGATGTCGAGCAGCCTCCGCGCCAACGCCATGAAGGCGTGCACCTCGGAGAATCGTCCTCCAATGAGCTCGCCGCTGAAGCGGATCACCACTTGAAATTCGCGCCCATCGGGCGCACGGTGGGCATTGCGCCTGATGGCTTTCGTCTCCGCCAATGCCCGCACCATCGCAAGCACCCCGCCACCAGACGACGGTCGGTAGCGCACCCTCTCGACGTAGGCGCCGTCGTTGTCCTCGAAAGCGCTGTCCACCGCCGCACGCCATTGCATTCCAGAGGCCGTCGTGCGGGCTAGGAGGCGCCTGGGCGACACCAAGACCGCGTCCTCGAGCAGCTCCTGCACCTTGGTTGCCGCCGCCGGCCGGGTAATGTCAATCAAGACGGCACCCTTCAAGCTGTAAGTCGTGTGCGAGCCGATGATGACGTCCATCTCCTGGAAGATCGCCTTGAGGCACAAAACAGAAACCCTAGCCGCCCAGTTGCCCCCCTGCGTGACCCTTCCCATGTAGAGCAGGCGCCTCTCCTGTGGCGTGGAAGTCGCCGCCTTCGCCAGCCCCTGCCACCTGGTCACAAAGTCGCGGGGGACCTGGCCGAGCAAGCCGAGCAGCGTCAGCTCACCTGTCTTAGCGATGTCGAAGACGACCATCGGCGCGTCGGGGACGCTGCCGATGAGGCCGCGGGAGCGCATCATGCCCCATGTGCCAGAGACGCTGGTCGAGCTCAAGTAGACAGACAATGCAGAGGCTCTTGATATGGTGCATCGGCGCGTGCAGGCCAGAGACGGCGATCTTCATGGGCTCGTGGCTGAACGATATGGTATGTACGAAGGGGGCCCACCTGCTCTGAGTCTGGAGGAGGTCATGTGTCCACGTGCCCCCCAACTGCCAAGGCGAATGGCAGCCAGGGCGCGGATCGAGCGGCACGACGACGAGTGAGTTGATAGGGACTCCCTGCATGGCGGCCTTAGCCACGCCACCGCACAAGCGGCCGAGGTCTTCCTTCTCCCCAGGCGCCACAGCATGATGCCGCAGCCAGCCATCGTCGCCATCGCCTGGAGAAAGGCGCCGCCCCCCTGCAGAAGCTGCCCGCACGCGACCCGTGCTCCTTCTGGCGATGGGGAGACGTGCGCGTCGGCCGTTTGGGGCCGAGCGCGGAGGATCCGCGAGAGGTTGAGGAGGCAGGTGCATGGGATACCCGCCTCGTGCACCGAGTGCTCCACGACCACTGGCTCAGCCTCCGCCCAGCGTGGGAGCCTGTCCTCGGCGACCCTCTGCAGCTGCCGCACCCTGAGGACCTCTTGAAGCTCGCTGAGGCACTGCTGGTGGGCCTCGGTCGCGCGAGAGATCCAACTGCGCTTCATCGCACGCTCTGGCTCCGTCAAGGGCCCATCCGCGACGGAATTCAGCAGGTCGCCCAGGAGCCCGGCGCGGCGGAGCACCAGCGCCTTGTCGGGGGCCGGGCCTTCCTTGCAGAGGCCGAGGCGGTCCCAGCCGTCGTCCAAATTGAGGTCGTACCCGAGGAGGCGCAAGTCGCGGCATAGGGCCACCCAGGGTGGGCTGCCTGAGGCGGTGGCGCCGTCCCCCATGGCGTCCACGGACATGTGGTCGAAGTTCAGCATGACTTCCGAATCGATGAAGTCCCGAACCGCGGTCTCGAACCGAGAGCCCACCGCGGCGCCTTGCCCGTCGCCCTGAGGGACAGCCTGCGTCGGCTGGAGGCCTGGGGGCATTCGCAGGGGTACCGCGCTGCTGCCGAGTCCGGTGGGCGGCACCATTGCCCGCCACGAGGAGAGGAGAGCGGGAAGAGGCGCGCGAGGCGAGATCGAAGACTGGCGGCGCTGCGGTCAACAGCGAAGTCGCCGGCGAACTACCTGCCAGGCCAATGGCAGGCAGCTTAGACCAGAACAGCTTGAGCCAGGCAGATGTGCAATTTATGTCTGGGAACTGGAAATACAGAGAGAGAGAGGGGGAGAGAGAGGGAGACAGAGAGAGAGAGAAAGCGAGAGAGAGAGAGAGAGAACGAGACTGAAATGTACATATCTATGTGCACATGGCGGTGTGACTGAAACAGTCATATACATGACTCTATACCTGAAAGAGTTGAGGGCGCTGGACACGCGTATATAATGCGTGTACCATTATGCACGCGCGCTTCTACAGTGAAGCGAGTTGTACACACTTGTGCATCTGTGCGTACCGATGACAGAGCGAGAGATAGACACACAAAGGAGAACGAGGGAACGACAGAGGTAGGGATAATAAGCAAACGACGCAACTACCAGCTGGACAGACGGGGAGAAGATCATGCAAGATGCACTGGCACAGCGCTGGAAGGGTGAGCGATTGGCGATGATTGCATACACTCGAGCCCTCTCCTTTTCACTTTCCTTTTCGTCCATCACTAATCGTCCTGTCCCCTCCATCGCATCGTCATGCGCAGCCGTGCCTAGCCTGGCCAAGGTGGCCCAATTCTCATCGAATCGGACAGCGCGCATGTCTGGTTCATCATCGGCTCAGCCAACCACCATCCCCACTCCCCCCTGGCTAGGTCAATACACTCTGGTAGTCACATCGGAGCAGCACTGCTCTTGAGAGGGAAAATGAAGATCAGCCCAGGGATGAGGGCCTGATAGTCACCAGTCTGGAGCAACATCATCCCCGTGCACTGCATATAGGCGGCTTGACCGTCGCACTCAAACGTGGTGTACCTGATTTGCATGAACCGCGCCCACCAACCCACTCCAATACCACCGCCTCTTCCATCTTCCATATCCTCCTTCATATCGTCATCTTCCTCCTTCTCCTCCCCCCTCACCCACCTCCTCCTATTCCGCCCCCCTTCCTCTTCCGGCAGCATCCCTTCTGAATCAAGAAGGAACTCGAGGTTGCCCCGTTCTGCAGAACAATTGGGCCTGAAACGTGAAGGGGAGGATGATTCGTCCGCCCAGACTTGAAAGCGATACACCTCCAAACCGTAAGCTTGAGCACGGCTTCCCCAGGGCTCCTGTCAGCGGGGCAGGAGGGTCACGGCCCCAGCTGCTCGCTCTCCCCCGCCGCTGCCCGTGCTGCCTGCCCCCCCCGACCCGCCCAGCTCGCAGGAAGCCCTGGAAAGCCATCTTGGAACATCCGCCGAGATGGAATGCCGTCCGGCCTGCATCACCTCTCTCCGTCGCGCCCAGGCCCGCTGGTGCTCGCCCGCTCCCTCTCGACGACATCAGCGCAGAGGGAGCAACAGCAGCGAACGGCACAGACGGTGAGGCAACACTGCCCGGCCACTGGGGCCAGCCGGGGAGGACGCACCATCGAAACGCCTCGCCGTGCTTCACCCTCGCCCTCCCTCGCCCAGCTGGTTCTGACCACCACCAGCTCTTCTGCGCCCGCCTCCCCCTCAGCCTCTCTCCTGGACCAGAAAAAACAAAAAAAAAAAAAAAAAAAAAAAAAACGGCACCACCCCACCTATGGCCCCACAGGCCTCAGCTGACTACCTACCAGACCACCCCAACCCAACCCGAAGACCCGAATTTCGGGTTGGGGGGGACGGGTTCCATGTGTTTGTTCAATGTTCCCCGACCCCACCCCACTGGAAATGGAGGGAAAATTGAGGCCTTCGGGTTGGGTTGGGGCCGTTTGGTGGGTGGTGATCAGCATATACCATGAATTCCGGCTTGAGCTGCGGCGGCGCCCGATGGGCCGTATCGCAACATGGAGGGCCGTGGGTGGGGTGGTGTCGTTTGTTGTCTGGTCGGTCTCCTCCTGCTGCACCAGCAGAAGGCGAGGCCGGGACTCGAGGGGGCCTGGTCCGGCCCGTGCCCCTGCTCCTGGCGGGAAGGCCCCAAGCCCTCCGCGAGGGCGGCTGGAGCAAGGACGTGCAGCTAGCAGCCAGCTCACGTCTACTCCGATCCACCCCTTGGTCGGAGGGAGGAGGGAGGAGGGAGGAGGGAGGAGGGAGGAGGGAGGAGGGAGGAGGGAGGAGGGAGGAGGAGGGAGGGGGAGGAGGGAGGAGGGAGGGGGAGGTGGGAGGAGGGAGGAGTCCCTCTGGCTCTCACCCCCGAAATGCACCCCAAAGCGATTTCTGGGGGTGGTGGGGCCCCCGCGGATGCCCCCGGAGGACCCCAGAGAGCGGGAAGGGACCTCCAAGACATCGGTCCTCGATGCTCGATCCTCCCCCCCACTTCTCCGCCCTCCCTCCCTTCCTCCTGCCCCCTCCCACCTGCCGTGTTCCACCCTCATCTCCAGTGCAAGCTCTTGCCTCGGCTGCACCGCGAGAGGGTCCCGCGCGCTAGGGACACATCGGGATCCGGCGCGGCGAGCACCGCATGGAGCGAAACCCAGAAGGAGAGATAGGACGAGGAAGAAGCATCACTCTGGAATGGACGGCTTTGTGCTCCGTGCGATGGTGGTTGCTGCTGTCGGAGCGCGCAGATGCAAGCTATCCAGACAGCCCTAACCACAATTTCGAACTCTACATGGTGGCTTGACGCTCATGCAAGCGGACCACGCAGAACTCCCGCCCCGCTAATCACCATCTGGGAGTACAAAACCGGCTGTTCGCAATTCGGGTTCACAGTTTGATGTCTCAAACTGCTGGCGCAACCACCAACCCTCCAAAAACCATTCCGTGAGGAGTCGAACCGTTGCTGGGCCTCTGGGGCCAGCTATGGGGGCCTCTACAAAAGCCCCTGAAGACCCCTGGACCTCCAGCAGAGGACGAGGAGATGTGGGTAAACAGGAGGATTCGGAACCGCACGCCGATCCCCATCTCGGGCGTCCAAAGTTTGACTTCGACCACGAGGCAGCTCGCGCAAACGAGTGTGTCAAAGTATGCGCGCCAGCGCCTGCAAAGCATGCGACCACTTTGGGCGGGACAGCTCTCAATGCATCGCTCTTCCCCCTTCGACGGCAGGCGGCAAGTGGGCGCGCTTGGCCAGATTCCCTTCCTCGACGTAGTCCTGGGCGAGGTAGCCTGGTAGTGGCAACGAGTCCTCTGTTCCACACATGACGCCCTTCGGGGATAGCAATATCTTGTCCCCGCCGTTGTCGAACTCGCCCGCGCTTCTCCAGACCTGGATGGCAGCGATGCAAATTCGGTTTAACAAAGTATGTGGCAGCATTGGTTCTGCCCCAAGACAATGACCCCTAAGATGAATAGTAGTGGGAGCGGCCAGAGGTCGTGACAGTGGTATTAGTCGTGGTCGTTGCAGTGGAAACAAATTCAGCTCATTGTTTGAAAATTGGAACGCGGTGAACTTTTTCAGTGTTCCTGCGTAGTGAGTGTTCGCTAGGGATAGTGGTAGTGATTTGGGAGATGGTCGTGCTGGTGGTAGCAATAGCGGCAGACGTGGTGGTCGCGGTAGTGGTCGCGGAATTGTTACGCAGGGGCAAAGTGGTGGCAAAGAGAGTGGTAGATGCACTGGTTATCCTCAGGAGGGCGTTCTTGTTCCCCATATCCTAGGGATGGGGTTCTTGTTATTACCCCAACCAGCGCCGAGCACGCAGGAACACCCACCTCCTGCTCCTCCTCCTCCTCCGATTCACTTGCCAATGCCTCTCGGAGTCACACCCGGGAGAACTACTCGGGTTATGATGTGATGGTAATGCTGTTGGGGATGGTGATGATGATCACGACGATGCTGATGAGGATGGTGCCGGAGGTTGTGATGATGATAGTGATAATGACGATGATGATGATGATGCTGATGATGGTGATGATGGTGGCGATGGTGAAGCTACTGCTGACGATGATGGTGACGGTGATGATGATGATGATGATGATACTGATGATGACAACGACAATGATGATGATGCTGATAATGATGATGACAACGACAATGAAGATGATGATGATGATGATGCTGATGATGATGATGATGATGATGATGATGATGATGATGATGATAATGGAGATGGTGTGATGCTGACGAGGATGAGGATGAGGATGAGAATAATGAATAGGAGGGTGAGCATGATGGTGATGATAGTGTTGATGATGAAGAGGATGATGATGATGGTGATGATGATGGCGTGGAGAAGGGTGCTGATGATGATGATTATGCTGGTGGTGATGATGATGAGGGTGAGGGTGATGCTGATGGTGAGAATGAGGATAATGATCAGGAGGAGGAGGAGGATGGTGATGATGTTTGTGATGATGTTGGTGATGCTGCTGCTGCTGCTGCTGCTGCTGATGATGATGATGATGGTGGTGGTGGTGAGGAGGAGGAGGAGGAGGAGGAGGAGGAGGAGGAGGAGGAGGAGGAGGAGGAGGAGAATGACGGAGCAGAGTTTGAGGATGTCTCGGGCGAGGCGCTGGTTCCAGCAACCCCAAGGGGGTGCGCCAGGGGGTATTGCACGGGCCCGTTCGCGCCCAGATTGGGGGGGTGCCTCGGGCGATTTGCCTGTTTGCGCCCTCAGCATCCTCCGCTTTCGGCGCAGATTCACAGGATGCATCGAGCGGTTTGCGGTTGTTGCAATCCAAACCCGTCTGCGATCAGAGTGATGACGGAGCAAAGTTTGAGGATGTCTCGGGCGAGGCGCTGGTTTTCGCACACCTACGGCGGGGGGGGGGGCGCCAGGGGACATCTCAATCTCAGTTCGCGCCCAGATTGGGGGGATGCCTCGGGCGAGTTGCCTGTTTGCGCCCCCAACATCCTCCGCTGTCGGAGCAGAGATTGAGGTTGTCTCTGGCGAGGTGCTGGCGTTCGCACCCCAGGGGGGGCCCAGATTGCAAGGATGTCTCGGGCGGTGTGCCTGGTTTGGTGGCCAGACTGGTCTGCGTTCGAAGTATGTTCTGAGAAATTACTACTCCAGCCGCGACGAGAACGAGAACCTGTTCATGCTGTTGGTGTTGGTGTTGGTGATGATGATGATGATGATGATGATGATGATGATGATGATGATGATGATGATGATGATGATGACGATGATAACGCTGTTGGTGATGATGACGATGATGCTGCTGATGCTGCTGATGATGATGACGACGATAAGGGGGGCGACAGGGGTGGGGACATTCCAAGACTCCCGCTCAAACTGTGGGGATTGTCTCCAGCGGCGCTTCCTTTGCTGGTCCCCTGCTCACCGCGCTATGCCAAGTGTGGCATATGTGTGTCCCAGGCGTGTTGCCATTTCCGGCGCCCCCGACTTCTCTCCTTTTGGCAGCCCACTGCCCACCACGTTACAGCCGGCGTGGAATGTTTGGGCAGCCCAACCGGGGAGCCGCCGGGGGCGTGTTGGCACGGGCCCGTTCGCGCTCAGATCGTGGGAATGGCTCCAACGGTGTGCATGGTCCGGCGCCGCCCAGACTCACTCTCTGTTGGTGGCCCATCCTGCTCCCCACGATACACCAGGCACCAGGGGTGGCACTTGGGCACCCCACTGGGGAGCCGCCAGGGCTGCAGACACCCCAACTCGTCGCGTCCAGATTGTGGGGGCGTCTCGGGCGGTTTGCCTGCTGCGGCCCCCCAGGCTTGCCGTTGGACTTGTGTTACTTAGACGCCTCCAGATCCCACTCACTCACTCACCTCCTGCCCCCCCTTCGCCACCCAGACGCATTCAAAATCAGATTTACTCATCAACACATCTTCCGCACTCAAACTCGCTCGTAATACTCAAACTCACTCGCACTCTGCATATTCATATCCAGATTCACTCACACCTAGACTTGCGCACACTCAGATCCACTCACACTTAGACCCGCCCACCCTCAGACTCACTCGTAGCCAGACTCACTCGTACCGATTAGCTCAGGTCCCGTTTCGTACTCACCATACCCATACACAGACGGGCTCACACTCAGACTTACACTCAGAATCACCAACGCCCAGACCCACACACCATCACATTCACTCGTAGCCAGACTCACTCGTACCCAGACCCATTCAGACTTAGACTCTTCACTGAAGTCGTCGCTTTCGCCGTCGTCGTTGTCGCGCCCGTCGTCCACGCCGACTCGCTCTCACACCAAGATGCTCACAGACAGAGTTCTTCAGCGAGAAGCGACAGGAGTATGAGATCCACATTTGGGGAGCTCCACGCAGTGAATAGTTGTTGTTGTTGTTGTTGCTGGTGGTGGAGTGGTTGGTGTTGTTGCTGTTACTACAACCGCGCCGAGCACGCACGAACACCCACCTCCTCCAACTGATCTTCACTACTCAGCGTCACTCAGAGACACACACGCAGGGTCACGACTCGGGTTATGATATGACAATGGTGACGATGACGGTGATGACCATTATGATGGCGATGATGATACTGACGAGCATATGAGGATGAGGATGAGGATGCTGATGTTGACGATGAGGATGAGGATGATGATGATGATGTTGATGATGATGATGCTGATGATGATGATGATGATGGTGGTGGTGGTGACGATGATGATACTGGTGCTGATGCTGATGATGATGCAAGTGCTGATGCTGATGCTGATGTTGATGCTGAAAAAAGGTGCTGACTATGATGATGCTGATGATGATGATCATCATCATGATGATGACGATGATGCTGACGATGATGCTGATGATGATGATGACGACGAAGGGATGATGATGATGATGATGATGATGATGATGATGATGATGACGACGACGACGACGACGACGACGACGACGACGAGGAGGATGATAATGACGACGACGGGGCAAGTTTTGAGGATGTCTCGGGCCAGGTGATGGGTTCAGTACCCCTAGGGGGGGCTGCTAGGCGGTATTGCAAGGGCCCGTTCGCGCCCAGGCGATGTGCCTGCTCCCCTTTCATAGCCGATGTTGAGGATGTCTCAGGCGAGGCGCTAGCCTCAGCACCACAGAGGGGGGGCGCCAGGGGGTATTGCACTCGTCCGGTCGCGTCCACATTGCGGGGGGGTTTCGAGCGGTGCGCTTCTCCAGGAGAGCCAGCAGCGCCTTGACACACAGCCGCCCTCCCTGAAGGTGCACGCAAAGTTCGTCGGAGGGTGTCTGTGAATATGTACATATACGTATATATAAATGCATATGTATATACGTGAATATATATATATATATATATATATATATATATGTATACACATATATATATATATATATATATGTAGATGTATAAGCGCTGGTGTTCCGCACACCAGGGGGAGCCGCCAAGGGGTGTTGCACTCCTCCGTTCGCGCCCAGATTGCGGGGATGTATCGAGCGGTTTGCTTGCCTCCGCTTTCGGAGCAGATGTTGAGGATGTCTCGGGCGGGGCACGAATCCTCACCAGGAGGCCAAGGAGGCTCCAGGAGGCCCCAGGAGGCACCAGGAAATCTCAGGAGGCCCCAGGAAGCCCCAGAAGGATCCAAAATGTTCCAGGATGTCCCAGGAGGCCTCAGGACGCTCCAGGAAGCCGCAGGAGGCCCTAGGAGGCTCCAGGAGGCCCCTGGAGGCCCCAGGAGCACCAGGAGGCCCCAAGATGCCCAAAGAGGCTCCAGGAGGCACCAGGAGACCACAGGAGTGGCTTCAATCCTACATGTTTGACGCACGTTCCTATATGTTGGGTCTCTCCTGGGGCACGAATCATTTGTGTTGTACGTATGTTCGTAGATGTAGAAAGAGAAAGAGAGAGCGAGAGAGAGAGAGAGAGACAAAGTGATATTACCCCTCTCCTGTGGCTCCAATAGTGTTTACGTATGTTCATACATATTGCCCCTCTAATGGGGCACAAATCCTTTGTGTTCTACATCTATCCCGTGGCTCCAGCCCTACATGCGTTACGCATGTACCTAAAACTAGGCATCTCCTGGGGCACGAACCCTTGGAGTATTACCCAGGCTCCTAAAAGATTTGGCATCTCTTGGGGCACGAACCCTTGGAGTGATACGCATGTTCGTATGGATTGGGCATTTCCTAAGTGTATCCCATATGCTCCTAAACATTGGGCCGCTCTTGGGGCGCGAATCCTTGGTATTCTCATCCTAAGCTTTGACATACTCAGACTCATGCGCATTTACTCACTCGTACTTCTGAAACTCATTCACACTCCAACTTATTCACAGTTAGATTCACTCCCAGTCTGTCAATACTCAAGCCCGTTTATCCGCCACCGTGCCCCCTGGCACGTTGAGGCGTGCTAGAATGCCAAACGCTTTCTGGTAGGGTTGTTGGAATCTCTTCTAAATGGTGACTCCCCCCCCTCCGGGTCGCGTAAGGTCGCGTGCATCGCCCATGCTCCGGGGGGTCCCTGGGCGGCCATGGCGCCTCCCTGGGGCTCTCCAAGGCTCCCATGACGGCCCAGGAGATCCCCAAGACGCGACGGCCCAAGAGACGCCCAAGACGGCCCTAAAAAGAGCCCCAGAGAGGGAACACGAACCGAAAATCCAAGCCTTCCGCCCAAGGGGCCCTAAGGGGCCCCCGGGAGGCCCGAAGAGGCGCCCAAGAGGCTCCTGGAGGCCCCCAAGAGGCCCCAAAAGCCCCAAGAGGCCCCAAAACGGCTCCCAAGAGGCCTCAACACAGCCTCCAAGTGGCCCCCGAGATGCCTCCCACGAGATCCCAACGAACATCCACTACGCTCCTCCTGTGTCCCCTCGAGGGAGAGCTGCCGAGCATGCTGGGCTGGCACGGTGGCGGGACTTGCCGCAGGCAGCTGGATATTCGAAAACTCTTGCGCCTAGACACTCGCGGCAGAATGGTCCTTGCAAATCGATGCACAGATGGGGAGCTCCACGCAGTGAAGAACTGTGAGGGCTCCGATGCCGTGCCCCCTGGCGCGCTGAGACGTGGTAGAATACATAGAGATGTCTGGTCTGGTTGGGCTCCTGCGATCTTCCAAGGGGCCCCCCACCCGCTCTCGCCGCACTTCGCGGCATGCACCGCACCCCTTCCTCCTCCCAAGGCTCGCAGGGCGGCCCCACACCTCCCTGGAAGCCCCAGGCGCCCCGCACGGCTCCCTTCTTAGACGGCCCATGAAGGCCAATCGCAAATTTAACCCAACAGTGCTTCCCAGCAGCCCCCAGGAAGACTTCCAGATGCGCCAAGGTTGCCCCAAGAGGTTTCCAAGACCCCAATGAAAAGGCCAACAGGCCCTGCGGGAGGACAACAGCATTCAAAAGCAGATGGGAGCCCTCCGGTCTGTTTTTGTTGTTGCGTTTGGCGGGTCTCACGTCTCGATATTTTTCTACGAGGACCTCGGAGGGTCTCAGAGGGGCCAAATACAATCCAAAAGAGCCCAATGAGAGCCCCAAGAAGCCCCCCTTGCGGCCCAGAGCAGCGCCAAGAGGACCCGAAAGCGACCCAAGAGAAGGGCCTGGGACCGAAGATAGCCCCCAGACGGCTCCAAAGGTCCCCAAGAAGTCCCCAAGACAGCCCGAAGAGACCCCCTAGATAGCCGACGAGACCAAATTACGGCCCAAGATGGCACCGGGAGCCCAAAACAGCTCCAAGACGGCCTGTGTAGCCCCCAAGAGATCAAGGACTCCGCCACTGTGCCCCATTTGAGGCGTGGTAGAATGCCGAGTCCTGTCTGGTCGGGCTCCTCCTCATTTATGAACGCTCTACTTCTCCTCACGATTACCCGCGTACATCGCGACCCCCTCCCCAGGCTCCCAGGGCGGCGCGACGCGTCTCCGTGGGGCTCTCCCATGCCTCCGGAACTTCCCCGGGAGGCTACCGAAGCGGCCAAGACAACAACACTGCCCCAACAAGCACGCAGCGGCCCCGAAGAAGAGCCCAAGGTGAGCCGAAGAGGCCCCACATGGCTCCAAAAAATCCTCCAGGCACCCCAAATGCCAAAACAGTTACGTTCATCAGCTCTTGCAATGGTGTTCGCTGTCCCTGCTCTCTTGTAAAATCTGGACCAACTGTGGGCGCTTGAAAACCCGACAGGGCCCACTGAGAATCCACGATGGCCCGTAGTCGGCCCGAGACGGCCCCAAGCTAGCCACAAGCTGGCCCAAGAGGGCCTCTAGAGAGACCCAGGCGGCCCAACACAATGCCCAAAGACTGCACCAGTGGGCCTCACACGGCAACACGACGGCCCTTAAGAGACCCCCAGACAGACAGACTGACAGACAGACAGACAGACAAACAGACAGACCCGCAGAAGGCACCTACGCCAGTGTAGCGGGTGGGCGCCGGGGCGCCGAATTTGGCCTCTCAGAGTCTGGAGTCGGGACTTTGAGCAGCCGGGGTCAGAAGAACGAGATCGAGTGTCAGAGCCAGAGTCGGAGAGAACGCCGGGGTCCAAGAAGTAGGAGACGGAGTCGGAGAGACGACAGTGGTAAACCGAAGCCGGAGTCGGAAAAATACGAGCTGGACGTGGTGAGGTCGGAGCCGGAGTCGGAGAGTAGGAGTCGGAGAGGCGCGCCGGACGCCGGAGTCGGACAAAAGCGAATCTGCGATCTGGAGATGGATCCGGAGAGCGCAAGGGTCGAAGAGGTGGGAGCTGGAGTCGGAGAGACGACATCAATAAATCGGAGCTGGGGTCGGAAAAATGCGAGCTGGTGGTGGTGAGGTTGGATCTGGAGTCGGAGAGATCGGGGTGTGAGTCGGGGAGGCGCCGGGGTCGGACAGAAGAGAGCATGTTAGATCCCGGCTGGATCCAGAGAGCGCCAGGGTCGGAGAGGTAGGTAGAGGGAAAAGAACTATGCACATGCACCGATTCTGGCCAGGCCCATCCTGAGCCCAGGATCGGTGCATACGCCCTCCTACCTTGGCCAGGAAGGCATATGCACCGATCCTGGGCCAAGGATGGGCCTTGCCAGGATCGGTGCATGTGCATAGTTCTCTTCGCCCGAGGAGAGACGGTGTTCTGGGAAATCAAAGCCAAGATCTGAAAGGTAAGAGCTGGAGTCGGAGAGGTATCCGGAGTCGGAAAGGCGGGATTCTGGGAAAACGGGGCTGGAGTCGGAGAAGCAGAGCAGCCAAAATGTGCCAAAAACGGCCAAAAAGAGGGCCACGCGACGGCCCAAGAGGGCCCCGCGACAACCGAAGAGGGCCCTACAGGACCCCAAGACTGTCCCACAGAAGCCCAAGACAGCCCAAAGCTGGCCCAAGCAAGCTCCGTGAAAACTCCTCGAGAAGTTGATACGAGAGGCGCCACATGTGACGGCCTTCAGGGCGGTGCTGGAGAGATTACCAGACAGAGTACTTCGCTGGCACGCTAGCGGATTTGCCGCAGACACTGGGTGGAGACGAGATGTGTCGCATGTTACGGCCTCCTGGCCTTTCTCGAAAAACAGGGTGATGCGCTGGCACTGTGGCGGGACTTGCAGAAGGACGCTGGATTGCACCCACATCGTCATCAGCACGAGAACTAGCACCAATACAAACAATACCCGTGGCCATAGTAACCGTGGTGTTTGCATCGTAGAAGCACTGGGCAGAACAAGTGTTTATGCTCTTGTCCTGAAGGGCTGAAGAAGCCATAAAAAACAACTGGAATACCTGGAATACCTGGTAAGTGCGTGCGGCCGTCATGCACTGGACTGTTGCTGTTCATGGCTGGTTGGGCGAATCTGGGAAACTGGTCACGAAGAACCGAATAAATGCCAGTGGTGTGTTTTTGTCCTAAATGTTACTAAAGCCAGCCGCATAAATCCTTGCATGTGGCTCTAGGCACGAGCCCCTGTAGTGAAATGAATATGCCAACAACACCTTGAACAAAATCTCATCTCCGTTGAGACTGTCCACAAATCCTGGCGCGTAATAGTTTCGGAGAACCTCAGGCCCTCAAAACTAAGGCCGCAGAGCTCAAACGGGTAAGGATCCAGCGCTCAAGCAGGTCTCGCCCTCGGAGCATGTCCGCCCACATTCGCGAAATCAGTATCAAACCTAACAGTTGTCACACTTTGGAAAATATACGGTTCTTAACTATGTTCTACAGCATATTAGACGCTCCCTAAATCTAGCCCAAGGCTTCGTGAATCCGCGGTGCGGGGACCTGTGACTGCTACGAAAATAACGGGTGAGAATCAAGGAATCCCAGTGGCCCCCGATAACATCCAACGGCCTCGCGTACCTTGCTCCCCACATCACTGGCTTTATATACTATTGTTCGCTCGTGCGAAGGAGTGCACCCCCTGCTCCGGGAACCCCAACCCCAAACAGCTTGTCAGCAACAGTGGGGCGCACTCGCTTTGCTTCAGCCAGCTTCCGCCAGCCTGCCGCAAGCTTCCACCGAAGAATAGACGTCAACCCCATCGACCCCTTGAGAGCGAAGCTCTATCTGGAGCGCCCCGAATGGATCCCGAGCATAGGGAGACAGATGCGCGAAGAGAGAGAATGAATCACCTGTAGGCAACCGTCCATGGTTACTACACAAAACGCATCGCGTGTCCAAGCCATGGGGTGGCACAGAATCCAACCGACCACTTCGAACTACTCATTCGCACTCCAGGGAACCGAGAAACTAAGCAGAAAGGAAGATACTTAAGGAAGGCAGACAAGAAATCAACGAAGACATAGTGAGGGAGAGCAGGAAGTGGCCAAGGGAGGCAGGACAGGCGGATGAAACAAGAAGGAGTATATAGAGAAGGCAGGAGGGAAAAATAAAGAGAGAGAGAGAGAGAGAGAGAGAGCGAGAGAGAACGCGAGAGAGATAGTGGAAGTGAGAGTGAGAGTGGGAGAGAAAGAGAGAGAAAGAGGGACAACAAAAACTAGAGACAGAGACAGAGGCAGAGACAGAGAGGCACATGGAGGGGGAAAGCGAAGAGAGTGAGGAGGAAACATAATGCGGGAGGGAAAGAGGGAAGCACGAACGAACAGAGGAAGGAATGTATGGACGAGAAAGGTACAGAGCGAGCGAAGGAACGAGAGAGAGAGAGAGGGAGAGGGAGAGAGACCAAGACAGAGAGCGAGAGAGAGAGAGAGAACACCAGCAGCAAAACGAGACACGGATATGGGTCGTGGAGGAGAAAGGTCTACGAAGGATAGTCGCATGTGTTTGCTGCGGCCAGTGGACCTTCACCGTGAACTCCTGGCCAGCAAAGGGGGGCGCATGAGAGGAGATGTCGTGGCAACTAAACTCATGGGAAGATTGTTTCGCATCCGTCAGCACGTGGGGCCGATGAGCAAAACGTCCAAGCTGCACTGGGGAATGAACGGCTGCAAGTCCTGAGAACGGCACGCTCCGCGCTTGGCTAGAGTTGGCGCCGGTGCCACGGTTGCAGGAGGGGGCCACGAAGAAGGGATGGGATATCACGAAGAGGACCGTGCTAACGCTAACAATGACACGAGCACGGAGGCTCCGAGAGGCCGAGAGTGACCGCGAAGGGCGACAAGGGATGGAAGACAGTCGGAGCCAGACGGGACGCAGAGGTGCTGGCGATGAGGCCGGGCGGCCAAGGACGACAAGCCGCACAGGCAGACTGCAGCTCCGACGCGCTGTGGACGCGAAACCCAGAGGCCTCAGGCGCCGGCTGTCCGTGGCGAACCCTCGCTCAGGGCTTGGGGCCCACGGCCGCGGACCGCCGTGCTTCGGCACTCCCCTCCTCCTCCTCCCGGCGGAGGGGGAGGAGGAGGAGGAGGAGGAGGAGGAGGAGGAGGAGGAGGAGGAGGAGGAGGAGGAGGAGGAGGAGGAGGAGGAGGAGGAGGAGGAGGAGGAGGAGGGGGAGGAGGAGGAGGAGGAGGAGGAGGAGGAGGGGAGGAGGAGGAGGAGGAGGAGGAGGAGGAGGAGGAGGAGGAGGAGGGAGGAGGGAGGAGGAGGAAGAGGGGGAGGAGGAGGAGGAGGTGGCGGGGCGGGCGGGGCGGGCGCGGCCCCACGGTCTCCCCCGACTCCTCGGACTCCTCGCCCTCGCCCCGTCCCCCTCGCAACAGTCGGGGGCAGAGACCCGGTGCCTGGTCCCCTCGGGGGCCGCCGCTCCTGGCCAGAGCCACCCCCACCCCGCGCCGCCTCCCCAAGGCGGCGGCACGCGGCCGGCCCGCTGGGGACGCCCCGTCCCAGGCTCCTGGCCGATCCGGATGTCTCCCGTCGGCACCTGTATGTAGCTCAACACGAGGTCGGCCTCGCGTGGAACACGCCGCAGACAGCAGCAGCAAGAGCAGCAGCAGCAAGAGCAGCAGCAGGAGCAGGACCAAGACATCCGACATCGAGTTTTGTTCACAGCGAGGTTCCCCCAGAGGTCTGGACCCCTTTCCAGAGCACCACCTTCTCGTCCTAAGTCGTTTCTGTGGCCCCAGGGCCTGGTACGGGCCCCCAGAAGCCCAGAACTGCAAAACACCTCTACATGTAACACCATTGTTTTTCACGTCGCAAGTAAGTCAGGGGAGCACGGCCTGTCACAAATCAGAGCACCAGTCCTCCCGCTCAACGTGCGGATCCGCTTCGCCGTGCACTGACCTCAACCCTCCAGCACTGGCGGCCATCCTCCATTTAGGCGACGGGGTCCGACAACACCAGGAACCAGCGCATGAACAGCATAGCACGAAGAGGGCGAAGCAGAGAAGCAGGAGGCGGAGCAGGGCCCTGACATTACCGCGTCGCGTATTATATGTGATACAAACATATACATATACATACGCATACATACCTGTATATACATATGCATAACCTAATAAATAGTATACACGAACTATTACATGTAGTTCATAATTCAATTAATTCACACACACAAACACACACACACACACACACACACACAACTACCAACCAATTAGCCTGACGAAGGACCCAACCATGTGCAGTTGCGAGTACCGCATTGTGGGTACTGGTTTCGGTGGAGCTCCTATGGGGCCACGAAGTTTGTGAGGGGTGCGCCGAAATTGGTGGCGCGGACGCATGTGGACACCGCCACTGGGGCCTTCGGTGTGGCTCCCTATGGGGCCACGAAACGCTGCCCTGGGCGAGGGAGACGCATGCGAACTGCGCCATTGGGACCTTCGCTGGAGCTCCTTATGGGGCCACGAAGCGCTGTCATGGGTGGGGGGGGGACGCATGCGAACTGCGCCTCTGGCGCCTTCGGTGGAGCTCCCTATGGGGCCACGAAGCGCTGTCATGGGTGGGGGAAACGCATGCGAACACCCCGATTGAGGCCTTCGGTGGAGGTCCCTATGCGGCCACGAAGCGCTTTCCTGGGCAGGGGAGACGCATGCGAACACCCCCACTGGGGCCTTCGGTGGAGCTCCCTATGGGGCCACGAAGCGCTGTCCTTGGTGGGGGAACCGCATGCGCCCACCCCCACTGGGGCCTTCGGTGGAGCTCCCTATGGGGCCACGAAACGCTGCCCTGGGTGGGGGAACCGCATGCGCCCACCCCCACTGGGGCCTTCGGTGGAGCTCCCTATGGGGCCACGAAACGCTGTCCTGGGCAGGGGAGACGCATGCGAACACCCCCACTGGGGCTTTCGGTGGAGCTCCCGATGGGGCCACGAAGCGCTGCCCTGGGTGGGGGAACAGCACGCGCCCACCCCCACTGGGACCTTCGGTGGAGCTCCCTATGGGGCCACGAAACGCTGCCCTGGGTGGGGGAACCGCATGCGCCCACCCCCATTTGGGCCTTCGGTGGAGCTCCCTATAGGGCCACGAAACGCTGCCCTGGGTGTGGGAACCGCATGCGCCCACCCTACTGGGACCTTCGGTGGAGCTCCCTATGGGGCTACGAAACGTGTGAGAGGTGTGCCGAGAGCAGAGGCAAGGAGGGGGGGGAGGGAGGAGGGGGAGGAGGGAAGGAAGGAAGGAAGGAAGGAAGGAAGGAAGGAAGGAAGGAAGGAGGAACGCGGGGCACCGTCTCTTCAAAACGAAGACCCAACACCACAGGATGGTTGGGAAAAAGCATGATCAGAATAGCAGGAAGAGGGCAAAGCAGAGAAGGCAAGAGGCGGCAGAAGGACCCTGACCTCCTTGCGTGCTGTGTCACTTGTGTTAAAGTTGATGCATATATATATATATATATATATATATATATATATATATACGTGCCACTTGTCGGCCTCTGGGTTGGAGCCCTCGCTGGGCTCTGGGATTTTCAAACACGCCTCGGGATGCGATGCTGGGCCTCGGGCGAGATCTACCCCATCCATAGGGCCGTTTCGGGAAGAGGCTTCCTTCTCCGGGGAGGCGCGCTATGGAAAAAACAAGGAAGCACGCACGACGTCGGACGCCTGGGGGCCGCGGACGGGCCTGGGGAGGAGACAAGACGAGGGCGCAACTGCTTGGAAAAGGGAGGAGGAGGAGGTAAAAAAGTAAAGGCAAGGCGCTTAGGGGACGCGGTGTCAAGCAGCAGCAGCGGCGGCAGCACAACACTTGTGGATGTCCCTGCGAGACAATATGGATGCAGGGCCTACGCTTGGTGCCGTAGGCCTGCCTGGGGCGCGCCTCCCTGGTGCACGACGAGGGGGGGGGGGGGGGGGGGCGTTGCAGGGAGCGCTACTCGCGTCCTGCTCTCACTCGGGAGTGGGGCGCAGGCTACCTGGCTAGCAACGTGCACCCCCTCCAAGGCAAGGGGCATGAAGGACATGCACGAGACAGACAACACACAACACACACACACACTCCCCACACACACACACACACACACACACAACACACACACACACACACACACACACACACACACACACACACATACACACACACACACACACACACACACACACACACACACACACCCACACACAACCCGAGGGGAGGAGGTGGGAGGGCCGCCGCGGGGCGCCTGCCTCCTGCGGCGGCGCTCTCTCTGTCTCCCTCCCGCGCGCCGCTCCCGCCTTCGCCGCGGTCGCGCCGTCGACGGTAGCGGGCGCGCGGGGCGGCACGAGACGAGACGACCCCCCCCCCCCCCCCCCCCCCCCCCCCCCCCCCCCCCCCCCCCCCCCAGCCCTCCTCCCCACTCCTCGAAACTCCTCGAATCCCAAAAAAAAAGAAGAACACTAGACGGGGTGGTACAGAAACTGGTTGCCTGTGGGGGATCACGCCTCTAGGTGAGTCTAGCGGTGATTGAAGCTGACAGTCTGTCCCCATCAGTAGTGGAGCTGACCAGTAGTCGTGTCATCACAATCACAATCCATGATGGCATGGCATGTTTTTTTCCGTGGTCCCCACAGGACTATGTCTCTCTCTTGCGATCGTCAGCCTCTCAACGGCAATGCGAAAATGCAATGGAGCTGCGCATACGGCCGCTCAGTGACGATACGCCTCTCTTCCTCACTCACTGCGCCTTTTCTAAGGCTGGTCCTCCTCTGACTCTGGGATCGGCACGTTGCGCCCGTCGCTCGATGATGCTGCCGTCGCTTCACTCTGTGGGGTTACTTCCTCTGGCGTCTCTGGCTTGGAGCTCTTACCCTCTTTGTAGTCGACCCACTTCTTAGGCTCCCTCCACCCGTAGAACGTCCAGGTCTTCGGGTCGTCCTTGTTCCACACTGGGATTCCTCCTTTTGGCGGCGTCCACCCGTAGAAGATCCACGAGCTCGGGCCGTCCGCCCTCCACGGTGGGATGGTGCCGTTGTTCGCCCTCTTCGCCTCGAACATGGCCCTCTTCGCCTTCTGCGTCATGACCAGGCCCTGCAAGTCCTCCTTCTCGTCGAGCTGGAGCTTGCTGCACTCCCTCCCTTGTCGATGCCATCTGCAAGGGTGTGTCGTACTTCCATGCCAATGACCCGTGCGCTGTGATGAGCGCGCTCGTGGTCTCGTCGATGCATACTGCCGAACAAGAGCGGGAGCGAACAGGGATCCCTGCAAACGGCAGCAAATCCAACGCTACCCTGCTGATGTGCCCAAGGAAGAGATGACCTACCGTTCGAGTATGGTGCTGCAGCGGGTCTGTCGTGCCTCGCAGGCAATCCGAACGCAAACGTCCAGACCACCAAAAAGCCACAGCAAATCACCAACACTGAGAATCACCGCGCTGGACAGGACAAGGAGAGGGTTCCTGCTAACCACCACCCTTATACAAGTTCACTGTACTTGGGAACCTTATACTGACCATGTCCCTTCTACAAAATTGCAATCACTGGAAGCCTTCTACTGACCAGGCTCCTCTTGAAAATTGCTGCCGCGACTGAACAGACTGGCTGGCAGCAGATTCTTGGCGGAGCACCGAATCGATTACTCACGTACTCAACGACCAACGACAAGCTGTTACACGAACATCGTTCACGGTAGCAGCCCCTCACTCTTGCATACCACTACGTCGAATTCGCGAACCGAGTTGCGACACGCGAATACGTGCGCGCTCTTGCCCTGGGAGCACTGCGTCGCATCCGCGAACACAGCTCGCGACGCGCGAGTCGGCTGGCGAATTCGCGAACACAGTTCAGACGTGCGAAAACAATGGTTGCCTAGTAGCGTCGCCGCTGCCCCTGTTTAGGTTGCTGTGTTTTGGGGGCTCGGCACCGTATCCCGGCGCCGCTCCTCGCTTAGACTCGCTGCGGGGGGTGCGCAGGCAAGTTTCCCCTCCGCGGCGTCGAGCACGAGGTCCCGGTCGATGTGTTTGATCGTCGCGGGGTCGGCCCTCATGTCGCGGGCGTCGCGCCACAGCATGTCGGACAGCTGTTTGGTGCGCGGCAGGTCGGGTAGTCTCTATAGCTGGCCTGCCATGCTATTCTCTGATGGCGGCCGCGCGTGGTAGACAGCTAAAGCGGAGAAGACACAGATACCGTCCACGTCTAGCTCGGCCGGCCCAGCGTGGACCCCCATCCACCCTCGGCCCCCTGGTCTTATCTGCACAGGTGGGCCCGCGCACTATATCGCGGGGCGCCAGGGGGTGCGCCCGTAGGTTTCTGCTGCCCCGCATGCCGCGAGCAGCTCCGAGCCGAATAAGGATCTACACAAAAAGTTTGGCGCGATCGGCTCACAGCGTCGAGCGCGTGGCAGATCTGTTTACCAGAGCTGCGGCAGTTGCCTGACGCGTGCGCACGGCGCCACGCATGCCGCATCCTGCCCCCCCCCCCCCCCCCCCATCGCGGTTGAACGAGCCGTCGCTGGACGCGCAGCTCTGGCCCGCGCGCCCCATCGCCCGCGCGACGACGCGCGCTCGGATCTTCTGCATGGCCAGAACAACGGACGTGAG